TCTAAATGGTGTCTTATATTTTGAAGCAATGCCATGTAATGGATTTTATGAAACTGTTATGATTGTAGATAACCTAGGAAATGATGTTTTATGCATGGATTCTTCCAATAGTATGGATAGAGCATCCTTGTGGCATTGTCGTATTGGACATGTTAACAAGAAGCGCATAGCCCAACTCCAAAAGGATGGAGTGTTGGAGTCATTCGACCTTAGGGAAGATGACAGATGTGAATCTTGTTTACTTGGAAAGATGACCAAGTCACCCTTCACTAGCACATGTGAAAGGGGTGAGGGTTTATTGGACCTCATACATACCGATGTATGTGGACCCTTTAGATCAACCACAAAGGATGGGAACTGCTTCTATGTGACTTTTACCGATGACTATAGTAGATATGGGTATATTTACTTAATCAAACAAAAGTCAGAAACGTTTGAAAAGTTTAAAGAATTCAAAAATGAAGTGGAGAATCAATTGGGTAGGAAAATCAAGATGCTTCGATCCAATCGAGGAGAAGAGTACCTAAGTCTTGAATTCCACGACTATCTCAAAGAATGCGGAATAGTTTCGCAATTGACGCCACCTAGGACACCGCAGTTGAATGGTGTGGCAGAAAGGCGTAATTGAACCTTGTTAGACATGGTTCGTTCTATGATGAGTCGTGCTTCACTATCTATCTCATTCTGGGGGTATGCCTTAGAGACTGCCGCCCATATCCTTAACCGAGTCCCTACGAAGAAGGTTGCCAAAACACCTCATGATATGTGGACAGGGAAAGCTCCCTCGTTAGCACATATCCAGGTTTGGGGTTGCGAGGCTTTCGTAAGACGAGATACTCACAACAAGCTCGAACCTCGTAGTGAGCGATGTATTTTTATCGGCTACCCATAGAAATCCTTTGGATATCTCTTCTATAGACCGAGTGACAATGTTGTCTTCGTTGCGAGGAGAGGGGTTTTCCGAGAGTAAGAAATCATAAGCCAAGGAGACAGTGGGAGGCAAATCGAGCTTGAAGAGATTCAAGAATCGATTGATGAAGGAATCTCTACCGCTAGCACTCAACCCGAGAAAGAAACTCCGGTTGAACCTATTGACCAGTCCTTACCTCTTAGACGTTCCGAAAGAGTTAGAGTTCAACCCCAGTTTTATGGTTTTCATATTACTACCGAAGGGGACATGTATATTAGTGATGGTACACTAATAAATTTAGATGAACCTAATAGCTTTAAGGAAGCCATGGCAGGCCCGGAGTCTACAAAATGGAAAGAGGCAATGGACAGTGAGATCCAATCCATGTATGACAACCAAGTTTGGAATTTGGTTGATAATGTGCCCGGACGTAAGACCGTTGGGTGCAAATGGATCTTCAAGAAGAAGACCGACATGGATGGAAACGTACACACATATAAGGCTCGATTGGTTGCGAAGGGCTTTACTCAAACTCCCGGAGTTGACTATGATGAGACCTTCTCACCAGTTGCGAAGATAAAATCTATTAGAGTAATGCTAGCTATTGCCGCATTTCATGATTATGAGATTTGGCAAATGGATGTCAAGACCGCTTTCCTTAACGGGAAGTTGGCTGAGTATGTTTACATGGCTCAGCCAGAGGGTTTTGTTGATCCGAAGCATCCCAATAGAGTGTGTAAGCTTGAGAAGTCCATTTATGGACTTAAGCAAGCATCTTGCAGATGGAATCTTTGCCTCGATGAGAAAGTCAAAGAGTTTGGATTTGTACGAAGCGAAGATGAATCATGTGTATATGTCAAAGCCAGTGGGAGTATAGTCAGCTTCCTCGTTCTGTATGTCGATGACATACTACTCATAGGAAACAACATCCCGACACTGCAGGTCGTTAAGTCCTAGCTCGGGAAGTGCTTTGCTATGAACGACCTCAGAGAGGTTTCCTATATTTTGGGAATAAGGATAGAGAGAGAGAAAGAAGTAAGAGACTAATAGGACTTAGTCCGAACACTTACTTAGATAAAGTACTAAAACATTTTAGTGTGGAAAATTTGAAGAAGGGAGAATTACCGATACAAAGTAATGCCAAGTTGAGTAAGACTCAAAGTCCGAGTACCGAAGCCGAGATAGCAGAGATGAGCCGATTACTTTACGCTTCCGCAGTTGGCTCAATCATGTATGCTATGACTTGTACTCGCCCTGATGTAGCCTTTGCTTTGAGCATGGTTAGTAGATATCAAGGGAACCTTGGCAGAGCCCATTGGATTGCGGTCAAGAATATCCTTAAGTACCTTTGGAGGACCAAGGAATGGTTTTTAGTCCTCGGGGGGAGTGATGACTTGAAGGTGCGAGGGTATAGTGATGCCAACTTTTGAACCGACAGGGACAACTTTCATTCGCAGTCGGGCTGGGTGTTTACCCTTAATGGAGGAGCAGTAACTTGGAAAAGTTCCAAGCAAGAAACCGTAGCTGATTCAACGTGCGAATCAGAGTACATTGCATCGAGCGAAGCGTCGAAGGAGGCAATATGGTTGAAGAACTTCATTAGTGATCTTGGAGTTGCGCCTGCCATAAAGGAGCCTATAGAAATTTTCTGTGATAATGAAGGAGCGGTTGCCTTGACCAAGGAATCAAGGGATCATGGTAGATCTCTTCATATCGACAAAAAATATCATTTTATTTGACATCGAGTAGAAGAAGGACACCTCGTGGTCAGGAGGATATCATCAGAAGATAACCCAGCAGATCCGCTTACAAAGGGACTGAGTAGGGTTTAGCATTTGCAGCATGCTAGGAGTATTGGACTGAGAGATGATATTAGATTAGATAATTTTATAAACTTGTAATAGATAAATGTAATTTAACATTTGATGAATAAATAAAGGAGTATTATTTATAAGTAAAGTTACTGTCTTATGTTAAATGTTTAACTATTGTTTCACTTTGCATGTTTTGACTTCCAGAATAGTTGAGTTTATTTAGAATAATCGAATTATTCAAACAATCCACAATCGTTCATATGTTGGAAGTAGGTATGAATGAAGATTGTCATGAATTGGTGTGTAGATTGTCTAAATGGTATTAGACATAGCAAAAGTTTGCTGCAACGTTTATGAGTGCTTATGAACTAGTTTTGAGCATTGGAACAAACCCGCGCTTACTGGAATCACCTTATGGAATTTGACGAAAAAGGTTGATCGCAAGACGATAATATCATATGGTCTTAAAACCAAGATATATGGTTTGTTATTTGTTAATTGGTTGTACGTTGATAATGCGAAACCGCATCAGTAAATCGATGTTATAAAACACATTGTTGTGTATAATTGATTAAAGAATAAGTAAATGCATATAAGTCGAAGTTTATTTGTTACTTTTATCATAAGAGGGTAAAAGCGATATCTCGGCCGCTCGATGATTTAATTTGACTTATGTGTCGGGCCCGGTCAAAACTAAATTAATGTGTTCGATTAAGTTCTATGTTGAATAAATCTGAGATCGAGAAACCAACTGTTGGACAATTGGTTCCATAGAATTATCCGCATGATATCTAAACAGAGGACTGTACGACCCCTTATCTAAAGGACAAGACTGATTAGATCAGAGTTTGACAGCATCTTTGAGAGCTACGATTGCTAATCGGATTATGCTTTTATATATAGTTACTAGACTTATCCAAGTGGGAGACTGTTGGAATAGTGTCTAAGGTTGCAACTATATTTGGTAAGTACTTGACCCGATTGAGCATGGTCCTTTTGGGTTGCCTTCACCATAGCAACTTGACAAGATGATTTATAATGAGAGAAGAAATATTATTTATATATTATGAGTATAATATAAGGAATAATAATATTGTTATTTGATTAATATAAGCCATAAATTAATTATGAATTAATTTGGTGACTTAAAGAGATTAATTAAATAAAAGGGCATAAACTGTCAATTGTATGATAGTTGCATTTTGAGCAGTGATTCTTTATCGATAAGGGGTGGACGATTTTAGGGTTTGGAAGAGCCTAGAAATCGTCCAAGGCTTATCAATTAGGAGATTGGATTGCTTAGGGCCTAAGTTATCCAATTAGGGTTTAAGGGTGAAACCCTAGGAGGATCACTAGTATAAATAGACCCTTAGGGTTAAGAAAAATCGGCACCCTTGGTATTGGAGAAACCCTGGCCAACTTTTCTCACTCTCTTATCTCTCTCTAATCATCCTCTTGCTCGTTGGTGTTTGTAAGCCATTAGAGGAGTGACATTTGTGACTCTAAGCTCCAAGGACAAGAAGATTCAAGCAAGCAATTCAAGGTATTCCTTTAGATCTGATTTCTTATGTTATTATATTAGATCTATCAATAGAAGTCTTGGATACATTGCATGTTTAATTAGAGAAACCTAGATCCAAGCATCAGGGTTTGCATGTGCACATAGGAAAGTTCTTATGGCTTAAACCCATCAGAGTCATGCGCCTTCAACCGTTAGGGCGCTATTATTGGCTGTGACGGTAATGGTCTGATCCTCCTGCTTGTCTCCTGACCGTATCTTTTGTTTTGGAGCCGGGAGCGTCTCTTGGCGGGTGCAAGCCTTTCGCCTATGCATTCCGCTCCCGAGGACTCCAGCGGACGCTAAGCCTAATGGGCTAGGCCCGGTTGGCGTGCGCGAGCCTTTTGCCTGTGCCTTCCACTCCCGGGGCTTCCAGCGGATGCTAAGCCTACTGGGCTGGGCCCGGTTGGTGTGCCCGGATCAGCTCCTGCCGTGTTTCCCTAGGCACGTCATCAAGTCCCCCAGTCCTATAGTCGTAGCATTGCAGTGCTAGCTACGACGTTATGGACTTAGTTAGCTTACGCGTTTTGGTTTTTCTTTACCCTTCGTTCCACCTTTAATGGCGATGTGACTGTGCATGATGCCTGGCAGTTACGTCATCGTTTCAAGCGTTTAAACATCCCCTTTCTTTCTTTCCTTTATAAGGGTATTTGCACGGTTTCTCTTGACTCATCTGTTTCTCCTTCTCTTCTTTGTGTTTATCTTCCATTTTTCTTTCATGGCAAACCTTCCCGGATTCATTCCATCCGCCGCCGAGTATCGTCAGTTGGAAATCACTTACGACTTGTCTTCCTTAGTAGGTGTGGAGTTTCCCTCTCCTGGATCTAGCATCTCTTCCCCTCCCCCTGGTAAGATTGGGGTTTACTTGAAAACCCTAGACACTAGTGTACGCTTTCCTCTAACGGATTTTCAGGAGGAGGTCCTCCAAAAAAATGGTTGCAGTCTTCATATGTTGACTCCCAATGCAGTTAACAAGGTGGTCGCGTTTGAAATGATTTGCAGGGCCAACGGGTATCTTCCGGATTACTTCGTCTTCAAGTTTTTCTTCCGATTCTGTGTTACCGGAGATAAATGCACCTTCTTGATCCAGCGAGGGGGACACGCCTTAGTTCCCGACGGGCGTACCCCAAAAAACTGACAATATAAATGGTCGTGGGTGAATCGGGAGCTGGTTGGGAGTTGTCGCTATCGTGCCAATGCTTTCGCCGATACCATCCATAAGCTCTTCCCCCACAACCAGGGCGTCACCGACTATTTGAAGGGCGTACAGGTATCCGCTGAAGATTACTCCGAGGCGCTTCTTTCTGGGTTCGGGATGAGCCCCTCTTGGAGGCGGCATGGCAAAATGGCGGTGTTCTTCTCCGTCGTTGATGGTGAGCGTTGTATCCCTCTTTTCCCTTTCGTCCCCTTATTGCTCCTGTGTTATTTATATTCCCGTTCTGCTTTCCTTGGGTGTTGAGTCTTCTCTATCCATGGATGAGGTGCTACGAAAACGTTATCGGGGCAAGTTGGAGTTTCACGAGGTGGATCTGGTCGATTGGCTTCCTCCACCTCGCCGGATGGATCAACTTGCTTTGACCGCTGCCCCTCCCGTTCCTCCGACAAGTTCATCGGCGTACGAGGAGAATCCACTGCATGCTCGCCGTATCTTTACTTCATGCCCCTGGGTGGCGTTCCTTCTTCCTCCATGGAGGATAGTGAGGAAAGCAAGGAGGGAATCATTGCTGATGTTCGAAGGATGCAGGCGAAACGAAAAGTTGTACATGCCATGGGTGATCCAGTTACTGGCGCGCGCACTGCTACCAAGAGGGTATATATTAGGCGCAAATTTTCTCGCCTGCTGAGTTCTATGAGTTCCACACCAACTGGTGTGGTAGTGATCCCTGATGATGACACGCAACAGTCCGAAGGGATCAACAGGGCGACTGAACAGCCCGTGCTTTCAGACTTCTCTTCTATTCCTTCTCCAACTGTTCCGTTTGTTCCTTCAAAGCTCTCCCCAGCAAAAAGGTTTTAGTGTCCCTGGACAAGCTTTAGTCTCCAAGGATGGTGGTTCTGGAGATGGTGCTTCTGAGGCTGCTGTTTTTGTTCCATCCTGGGATCTTCGCAATGACTCTCGACTCTCTGTGCGCACCCATACTTTGGAATTTTTGCTCCACGCCTTTCCTCCGGCTGCAGTTGGAGATATGGAGGCGATGGGTAACCCTACCCTTGCTCACAATATGGTCTATGCTGCCGCGCAGGCCATGGTTTATCTTGTTGCAGGTTCCCGACACGTCTATACCCTTGGCGAGATGGAGACCGCGCATATCGCCTACGGGTCACGTGTGGTAAGTCTGGAGCGCCGTCTTAGTGAGCTTGGTGATGATCTTTGTTTATATGAGAAGAAGTGTGAGTTTCTAGCATCTGAGAAAAACATCCTTGATGAAGCCAGGGCCATGTTGGAGGCCAAGGTTGACTCCCTCACACAAATGAATGAGGGTTTGATGATTTAGGTAGAGAGTCTTGAGCGTGATGTCGCTGATTGTGACAAGTTTGTGTCGTCACTTCAGTCGGATATGGACGCTTCTTGTCGAGACCTAGACTGGTTAGTGCGTGTTGGTTTTGTTCGTATTGTTGATAAGTTGATTGAGCATCCTGATTTTACCAATGCCATAAGCCTCATCTGCTATGCTGCATTCGTGGCCGGGGTTGAGCCCCTTCAGAAGACTTCTGGTGGTGGTGGTGGTGGGGAGGTAGTTGCTGGTGCTTCTTCGGTTGGTCCTGCGGTTAGTGTAAACGATGCTCTTTTGTCTTTTGCCAGTATGGATCACGCATCTCTGTTGGGTTTAGGGGAGTTAAGTATTGAAGGTCTGCATCTCTGTTGGGTTTAGGGGAGTTAAGTATTGAAGGTCTTCGGGAGTTATGTTCTTTCGATGGTTCTGAGGGTACTCCAGAAAGTGTGATGGGTCAGGAAATTATGTCAGTGGTTGAGGTTGATGTGGTGGTGGGGGGGGGGGGATGGTAAGGATGGTCAGGCTGGCGGTGAAGGAGATCGTGGTGTTGGAGCAGGTATTGGTGATGATAATGTTGGTGAGGTGGCTATGGGTAAAGGAGAGGATGCTGGGGAGGGTGCCCCGACATCGTGTGCTACCCCTCTTGGGGTGTGAAAATTTCTTTGCTTAGTTGGTTTAGGTTTTGATGCTTCTAACTTGTGTAATGTTTGGACTTTTAAAAACAATGTTTTATTTTCCTGGATGCGTATTTTGTATGCTCTGAGCATTGTCTTTTTTTTACTCGCTTTGCTTATCGTTTTGCTTGCTTGTTTATTATACATTATTTAGGAGATACAACGCCCTGATGTGCTACGCATTTCATTCTGCCTATTCTACCGTTCACACACTAAGTGTCGGTATTGGGCGCTCTTAGCACCCAACGATCGAGTTTTGCATGTGAACATTCAGTCGTTACAAATTAATACACTAAATATCAAACATCAGCAATTGCATTATCATTCTATATTGACCGCGGTCTTTTAAATACATTAAGTATTGAACTCATGTCACTAAGCATGGACATATGTACTCTAAGTACTTGGGATGTGCTACATTAAGCAGCATGTCGGTTAGTTGGGATTACGTCTCTTTCCCTCCTTCTTGATTAAAAGAAATACTTCTTCAAGTTCCTAGCGTTCCACGTTCTTGGAATCTGCCTTCCTTCCATTTCTAACACATATGCGCCATTCCTATTTGCTTTTGTGACTCTATAAGGTCCTTCCCATGTTTGGCCCAATTTGCCCTGAGGGTGGGCTCGGCTTGCTTCATTTTTCCTTAACACGTATTCACCAACTCTGAACGCTTTTTCCTTGACTCTTTGATTGTAGTATCTTTATGTTGCATGCTTGTATGCAGCTTGGCGCATTCCAGATTTTTCACGCTTTTCCTGTAGGATATCCAAGTTTATCCTTAGGTCTTGTGCGTTGCTCTCTTCATCCTTGTTGGCCGCCCTCAGTGTGTTCACTGCCACCTCCATGGGGAGCATGGCCTCTGTCCCATACGTCAGATTGAAAGGGGTTTCCTTCGTGCTTGTTCGTGCTGTAGTTCTGTACGACCACAACACCATCGGTATCTCCTCCGCCCTATTCCCTTTTGCTTTGCCCAGCCTCTTCTTGATTCCATTCACAATGGTTCGATTGGATACCTCCGTTTACCCGTTTGCTTGCGGGTGTGCTACCGATGTGAAATGTTGGCTTATCCCTTTGGTTGTGCACCATTCTCTAAACGGGTTCTCAGCAAACTGTAGGCCGTTATCACTGACAATAACTTTAGGTGTCCCAAATCTTGTCATGATGTTCTTCCATACGAATTTTATCATGGTTCTCCCTCCCCGATATGCACGCCAGTGGCTCCGCTTCGATCCATTTTGTGAAGTAGTCCACGGCCACCACCATATACTTTAGCTTTCTTGGTGCTTCTGGGAATGGACCTACTATATTTATGCCCCATTGGTAGAATGGCCACGGGCGGGATATGTTATGCAGTGGTACCGAGGGGTTCGCGTGGACTGGGGCGTAAGACTGACATTCCCCACAGTTCCTGGTCATTTTTATTGCATCTTGTTGTATCATCGGTCAGTATACCCCCATTCACAACACCTTGCTTGTTAAAGCCCGTGCCCCTTCGTGTGCACCTACCTGGCCTGAATGTGCTTCCTGTAACATCTCTCTCCCTTTGTCTTGGTCCACACACTTTAGCCATGGGGTCGTGAACCCTTTCCTGTATAATTCTCCATTGACCATTGCGTACGAAGGCGCTTTTATACGTATCTTCCTAGCCTCGCCATGATCGTCTGGCAACACCCCCTATGTAAGTATTCCTGGAACGGTGTCATCCACGTGGGCCCGGCTGGGGCTAGGGTGTTCACTTGCTGCTCGTCTATACTTATTTCACGGAGTACCTCTACCAGGACCTTCTTCGACAGGTGGTCGAAGCACGTGGATGCCAACTTACTTAAGGCATCCACCCTCTTGTTTACACTCCTAGGTATCTGCTTGATTGTAAACTGCCCGAATGATCCCACCAATTGTTTCACCATCTTTACATACTTTCCTATCCTCTGATCTCTTACTTCGAAACTCCTATTGACCTGGTTTGCTGCTAGCCTAGAGTCGGTTAGGGCCGTTACAACTTTCGCACCCATTTGCTTGGCTAGATGCAATCCTAAGAGCAGTGCTTCATACTCTGCTTCGTTGTTTGACGTGTGGAAATCGAAACAGAGGGCGCAAGTTACCTCTTCTCCTTCTGGGCTAGTCAGAATCAGCCCCACCCTAAGCCTTCCCTGCTAGACGCCCCATCCGTATACAAAGTCCATGAACTGTTATCAGCCGGGGCCTCTTCAACTGCCCACACTTTCTCTTTGGTCGGGTCCCCTCCGTTCGGAATTTCTAGTAAGAAATCGGCTAGCGCTTGTCCCTTGATACTCGTCCTTGGGCGGTAATTTATGTCGTGCTCTCCCAGTTCGATTGCCCACTTTGCCAGCCGGCCCGACGTCTCCGGCTTGAGCAGTATCTGTTTGATGGGGTAACTCATGAGCACCTCGATCTGGTGTGCTTGAAAATACCACCTTAGTCGTCGCGCTGCATAGATAAGTGCCAGGACCAGTCTCTCCAGCGTGGGATAGTTGAGTTATTGCTTTTCCTGATGTCGAGAGGTACACTTGTAACGTCTCTCCAGGGACAGGGTTGGCCAGCTTGGGTAATTCATGTAGCGCTTCCTTGATTCTTTGAAGCGCTTTTTCTGCTTCATTCATCAATTGGAAATTGCTCTTCCCAACGAATCCCTTCAATGTGTGGAATAACGGCATGGCCTTGTTAGCGGATTTTGAAATGAACCTGCTTAAAGCTGTAAGTTTCCCATTCAGACCCTGTGCATCCCTGAGGGAGTTCAGGGTTGGTGTCTCGATGAATTCATCGACTTTGGTCCGGCTGGGCTGGATACCTTGCCAGGTGACGTAGTATCCCAGGAACTGTCCCTCTTCCACACCAAACGTACATTTGGTTGGGTTCAGCTTCATCTTTACCGCCTCTAGGGTTCGGAAAGTCTCCTCAATATTGCAACATCTTGTCTTCATGCGGGCTCTTAATCACCCTGCATTCTTTAA